TTAAGTGGATTTAGTTCTTAAATCTGCAGTTTTTAAAAATGTTTTTACAGGGATGGAGTCAAGACCAATTCTTCCAAGACAAAGACCAATATCACACCTTGCAAGTCCAAGACCCGACGTTGCGAGACCAAATATGTAGAACGTCGATAAATATTTCAACGTTCTAAAAAAATATGTAGCTGGTCTAGCTTTTGATTGACAAAAACTAGACCAAATGTGAACACACAGACACACTCTTTTAAATCAAAGCACCAAATGCCTTCTGGTGCTTAAATATTCACATGCAACAAGATTTTGTGGTCATTAGCAATAAAAGAGTATTTTTTAGATGATGAGATGCAGTTGCGATCTCATCACTGTTGCTTTTATTTAACATTTAGTTTGTTGTACTTCTGCAGGTGAAGATAAAAGAAAGTAAGTTTTCATAATTTTGACAAAGACAGAAGAGTCTCAAACAAGCCTTGACCCAATTTGTTGACCAAGGCATAACAATGCAAGACCAGAAAAAAAAAACAGGTCAAGACTGGTTTCAAGCCCTCCATCCCTGTTTTTTTTTCATTACATATTTATTTATACTGTCTCTCTGCTATAACAGTATGGTATGACACAGATCATTTATGGAAAAAACATGGCCCTCCAACTTATGCCAGTGCTACTATTTCCATCTGCAGAAATGTACTGCTCTCAGTCAAAAACAATTAATCAGAGCCAAGAGGAAAGTCCTAGCACTGGTACAGTCATATGGTCAATGTGCTAATGGCATACAAGCAACTTACCCCTAGAAGAAAACTGTTTATCTGCCATCAACAGTGCCTATGCTAACTAGGTAGAGCATTCAAGACACCCTCTATTGAAGAAAACTAGCTGTAGAGTACCAAAGAGCAAGGAAGAGGGTGTGAGCAGAGTGTACATGAGAGTGCTTGACAGCACTAAGACCCTCCCCCTTGCTGTGATTGGTGGCTTTAGTGCAGCTGTTTATCATACTGCCATCGAGGAGATATTAAAAGAAGTGTAAAGTCAAAGACAAAAAGACTGATGGGCTGTTAGAAGTACCAATTCATCTACATACTAAGTAGAATGTCTCCTCTTCTACCCGGTTTTGCTGTGATTGTTTGTAAAAGCTCTAAGTAGAATTGAATTAGTAATCTCATATTGCTCAAAGTCCTGTGTGATGACAATAAATCCATCCATCCATTGTCTTCCGGTTATCTGGGAAGCGGCCTAAGCAAGGAGACCCACACTTCTCTCTCCTCAGTCATTTGAGCCAGCTCCCCAGGGAAAATCCAAGGTGTTCCCAGGCCAGCTGAGAAACATAAACCCGTACAGCATGTCCTGGGTCTTTCTCTGGGTACCTGGAACCCCTCACCAGGGACGGTCAAGGAGGCATCTCAACCAGATACTTGAGCCTCCTCAACTGGCTTCTCTTGACATAGAAAAGCAGCAGTTCTACTCTGAGTCCCTCCAGATGACAATAAGTTAAATAAAATCTAATCTATGAATTTTAGCTACAAAGCTTGCTGTTTTCAATGGACCCCAACAATAGCATTAGCACCAAGCTCATGTCTTCTCTGTGTAAGCTAAGAGCTCTGTTTGCAAGGAATGCAAATGGGCTTGATACACGGGGAGTGATCAACAACTGTGAAAGACGAAGATTTTCCACCACTCTGGGTGAAACCAACAAATGGGATGTGATGACGACAACCTTCTGTGCTGCGTTGCTTTCCCATGTGTGCCGTCATCATGTACGAGCTCATAATCTCACATGCATAAGGAAATGAATGGGTAGAGTACTTACAGCACTTTAAAGAGAGGAAGCAGGCTGGTTACTAGAATGTACCAAGGGAAAAATGGTCATTATTTGCATGCCTTCACTCACAAAGTATCATTAGCTCACATGAGGAGGGGAAGTCCTTATTAAAGATCATTTTAGTGCTCCTCTTCAGTCTGGGCTTCAATAAACAGGCAATAATTATACACAAAGAGACAGATGTCAGTATTATTAGTAGAAGGCAGAGGATGCAACTTGTAACAAGGGTCGAAGTCCAGATGTCATAAACATAGTAGATATCTATCATGGGCAAGGCAAGACAGCAATAATACTGGGACTTAAAGTCAGGAACTAGTGGAGGGAACTTAGCAGGAAAAGTTAAGATTTTGACATGACAGCATGAATTACAATGACAATCTAAATGATCACACTGTGCTACTTTGGAACATTGCATAGGTATAGCCCGCACCAGGATGCAGACCTCTTCAAACCCAGAGTTCCTGCAATCATCAGTCATTTTATAGCCTACAAAAACCAGGATCATGGAGCCTGGCTGAGAGGAGGAGATGTGTGGCTCGATGGCTGCCAGTGAGTACAATACATGAAAATTCTAATTATTATTCTGACCAAACGAATGCATGTTTGTCTGAAGTAATTATACAAAAGATGTATTTAAATCAATATACGAGCGTACGTATACATAAGCTTAATGTATCTGTGTTACATAGTAGCCTATGTAACACAGACCACTACAAGAGTTTTTTCCTCCCAACAGTCATCACCATCTTCAATTACTCTTTGAAGAATCTGAATTAATGAACTACAACATTAAATTTTCCTTTGAGCTTAATAAAATACTTTTGAATTGAATTAGAATTTTTATATATATATTATATTTTTTTTGGTTACCATTAGAGGTGTGCCGATCGATCAGCCACTGATCATAATCGGCCGATTTCCGTGAAAAAGTGTATGATTGGTGATTGTCGATCACTGTCTCTTGTTGCCGATCACCAAACCGATCAACTGTATCTCACTTCACAGCCTGCATGTGCAGCTCATCTCCTCTTTCCTTCTTTCCTTCGCACTGCGCAAACGCGCAGCAACGCATCCTAAGCGATGTCGTGTGGAACTATAATGCTCTGAGAGTGAATGGGGAAGTTTGCGCATTGCATGCATTTAAAAAACAAACACTTGATAGAGTTTGACTAT